AGTAAAATTGTGGGAACTTTAAAACTTGCTGCAATCATTTCTTCTGACTCCAGTTGGCCTAATAAAAGGCATAACGTCAGTTGTGGATATCAGATATTTTTGGCTCATGCAGCTGATGTTGCTTTTTGATATCATTTCAGAATGCCTTTTTCACATTAGATTATTTGCATTCCTACCAAAGTGGAATCTGTTTCATTCAGATACAGTAAGCACAAACTGCTTACCTGGCACATTTGACTATTTAAATTGAGTCAGAGGTCAATATGACCTATGGTACATTTGATATGCTTGAAGAAAAAAAAACCCTAAGAGCTAGTTACAACAGAGAATGAACGTTAGCCAAGGATAGCAGAGCACACTTAGTAGGACAACAAAGACAGTGTTCGACTGAAGTCCTTCATTTTGATTGCATACTGAAGGACTTTTAAGTTAAAAAAAATAGAATTAAAAAGACCACATTGTGGTTAAGATGTTATTAGTAACAATAGCAGTGGTTGTGATTGATAAGAAATCATCCCCACTTCTCCTTTATTTCATAATTAATATATTCCTTTCTGCATCACATTGAAAAATTATAATTCAGCCCAATAATGACTGAAAAAGGCACGTCTAATGGGGACACATATGACCTTGTTTCTGCAGATTGTACAATTCTGGTATAAATCAAAGCATGAGAATACACTATATATGCAGCGATGTATGCACACACTATAAGGAATGGTCACACTTAATACAACTTTCCCCAGACTGGCTCCCTTCAAATTTTCATTTCAACTCCATTTATCATACTGGCTGAGAGATTTATGAGAGGTGAAATTGAACACATTTCTTGGATATCATATTGTGTTATAGCATTGTGTAGAGCAGGGTAAACTCTTACAGAGAAATTTATTTTTGTCAACATTTTGCAGTATATAAAATGGCCCTGAAAGAAGCCAAATCACTGTTGAGGATTAAATATTCTTTTTTCGTACTGTTTATACAGGTGGGAAAGTTAAGGTTAAATTTTGAGTCTGACACATTAATATTATTTTCTAACCGTTCGATACAGAATTTGTTTATTGACATAATGGTTTCTAGAAATGTGACCATTTAATTTCATTGGTCTAGCACAGTGGTTCTCAACCTGTGGGTCGGGGCCCCATTTGGGGTCGAATGACCATTTCACGGGGGTCACCAAACAAGGCTGTCCGCCATTTTTCCCCCTTTGGCCACGCCCCTGGCACCCGGTGATGTATAAGTGGTTGGGGGTCACCACAACATGGGGAACTGTATTATGGGGTCGCGGCAATAGAAAGGTTGAGAACCGCTGGTCTAGCATAAGCATTCCTGTTCTTATAGCTAAGTAATGTATTATCTCCTATTTATCCATCTTTGCAGTTTTCCTGGAAAAGTTATACATATCAAGTGAAATAATAGGACCAGTGCTATTCCTAGGGAAGAGTGGCCAATTTATGAGCAGATTTTTGAGTGTCATAAAAGACACGTGTTTTTGTATATGGTTTGTTATTACTTTACAGTACTTTTATAGTTATACACAGGACTTTTTTTCTCATAAAACGCCCAGAATGGAGTTCCGGCACCATTTTTGGATGGAACCTTGTAGGGTAGGCAAGGTGGGTTGTATGATATGTGTGAGTAGAAAAAAAAGCACTGGTTATACTATTACTGATGGGGGTTGCTTATAAGGTTGGATAGAGAAGGGAGACATCTTAGCCATGGAAGTTCACTCATCCCAATCTACTTCATAAAGTTGTTATGGATTAAAATAGGACAAGATAGTGCTATGAACACTGCTCTGAGCTCTGGAATGAAAGGCAGGTAATAAATAAATAATTTTCCTGGTTTGGGTACTTTTCACAGTGATACAAGGAGAAATAATTCTGTGCCTAGAAGCACCACACATGCTGCCTGTGCAAAGCAGAGGAATCGGTACCTGTTATGAACTTTGTATATGGTTACTGAGTTCATTGAGAGTATTGCAGAAAACCGGAATTTCCTCTTTACAGTATCAGCACCTGAGGTCATTTGTAACCATGATTGTGATAAGGCAACAATTGATCTTAAAGAGGCCCTGGCTGCTTTTAATGAACATCTTTTGAACGCACTGCTTCCTTTAAGTCTTCAGAATTCATGTTTTATTTTTGATTAGAGTCATATATGTGCAATTGTAATCCTTAAATGATTACAGCAAGGTAGGAATAATTCCAAAACATATGTTTTCAAATTATAGAATTATAGAAACATAGATTATATGAATTGGAAGGAACTTTACAGGTCATTTAATCTAAACCTTGCTCACTGCAAGAATCCACTAGATTTCTCTGAAAAGTTCAGTTGTCATTGGAAAATCTCCAGTGAATTTAATAATAATAATGATGTTGATGATGATGGTGGTGGTGGTGATGGTGATGCTGATGGAAGAGACCTTGGAGGTCTTCTAGTCCAACCCTATGCTCAGGCAGGAAACCCTATATCACTTCAGACAAATGGCTGTCCAGTCTCTTCTTAAAAGCTTCCAGTGTTGGAGGATTCACAACTTCTGGAGCCAAGTTGTTCTACTATTAATTGTTCTAACTGTCAGAAAGTTTCTCCTTAGTTCTAGGTTGCTTCTCTCCTTGATTAGTTTCAATCCATTGTTTCTTGTCCTGCCTTTAGATGCTTTGGAGAATAGTTTGGGTCCAGTATTGTTCTACTAGACCAGGGGTAGGCAACCTCGGCTCTTTTATGACTCATGGACTTCAACTCCCAGCTATGCTGACTCAGGAATTCTGGGAGTTGAAGTCCATGAGTCAAAAAAGAGCCGAGGTTGCCTACCCCTGTACTAGACTGTTCCATTACTTAAAAGCTCTCTTCCATCAGGAAATTGGTCCTAGCTTTCAATGTGAATATAATTTTTTCAATATTTCAATATTTGGGGGGGATTCTAGTGTTCAAAATGATAAGCAGGTTTATTTTTCATTGGCTTTGGGTAAAATTTAATGTGTTGAATATATGAGAGATTTAGAAATGAAAATCTCTGACAAAAATATTGGTTTTCTCCTTTCACTGTCTATGAATCCTTTCTCCTGAATGCAAAGTCATAGCTGTTATTCCAGTCAATATTTTGAATTAAGATTTTCAAATAACAGCTTCAGTTAGAAATGCACAATATGTGTAACTCTACAATTGCCAACATAAAAAAATATTGTTTGGAAGTTATTTATGATATATAATAGTAATACTATATAGACCAAAGCAGCTTTTACTTTGGAACCTTTATTTCAATCAATACATGAACTTTTTTCCAAGCACTTGAGCATCACCTCAAGATGTGGGAGGTGTGCCTCATATACTCACCAATTTTTCTTCCCATATTTTGGCCCTACACCTGAGTGGGCACATGATTAATCTGATTTGAGAACTAGTGGAAATGTCAGTATGAGTTTCTAAGCCACAAGTAGGTTCTTTAACTTTTTGTTTGTTGCTTCATGTATTTGGGTCTTGAAGTGTTTTAGAACACATCAGAATGGCATGCTTAAAAAACTTCTGACTTCTTCAGTCATGTTACTAGAGTACATCAACATCACAAAAGCTTAGAATCTAAGCAACTAAGATTAGCCAGGTATGTAGCAAGTTCTACATATTGGAATTTCCACAAAAATGGATTCTGAGTGAATAAAGTTACTTTTAATAGCTTGGTCTTGTACTTTTATACCCCCATTTACCCTTTTGTACTGTATAAATAATGTGTCACCACTGCTACAAGTTATTGTCATCATGTTTTTTGGGAAGAGCCAATATCCAGTCCTTAAGTTTCAGAAATAAAACTTTTTATTTAGAGATAGGACAGCTCATTGAAGGCTATGTTATACCAAAGTTTTTTTTAGAAATAATTATCTAATTGAAATATTAGTAGGCATTTCTTAGAGTCTTCAGTATTTAACATGGATTAAATAACAGAGGACTATAAATAGAATCTAAAAATGACTAGTTGGAGGATGAAAAGAGATCATTTCGTATTCCTAGCAATTATGTTCTAGTCATTTCTTTAAAAAAATAGAGCATTATTATTTATTTCTTGTTCTGTATAAAGTGCTATAAAATATTCTGTCAACATGAAATTCTTTAAAAAATAGAACCAAAAAATAGAACAAAAAATTGAGAAAAACTCATTTCAAAAAAGTTATACATTGATTTGCATTTTAATGAGTTAAATAAGTATTTGATCCCCTATCAGTAAGATTTCTGGCTACCAGGTGTCTTTTATACAGGTAATGAGCTGAGATTAGGAGCACTCTCTTAAAGGGAGTGCTTCTGATCTCAGCTTGTTACCTGTATAAAAGACACCTGTCCACAGAAGCAATCAATCAGTCAGATTCCAAACTCTCTACCATGGCCAAGACCATTAAAATTATAGACTGATCATTTCTTTATCAGTGAGCAAATGTACAAAATCAGCAGGGGATCAAATAACTTTTTCTCTCACTGTATATAAATCACATAATATTAAAAGTTTGTGATCTTGTGGGGCCACATTACTAGCTGTCCAGGATTGCATGTGGGCCACAGGCCATGGGTTGGACAAGCCTTTGCTAGAGCATAAAAAGTCAGCTCTTATGGATGCTCGCAGAGAGTGGGCACTGTAGAAGCCAGAAGTGAGTAGGACTACAGACAACAGTTAATGGCTGCCCTTTCTATCTGTTTCTCTCTACATCTCCTTATCTCCACCTATAATTCAGAAGTAATCTCATGCAGAAGGCTTTTAAAATTAGATTGAAGGTTATGTACAGGTTGTTTAATGTCACAGAAAATGTAATTTTCCAAGCCCAATTGATAGGATTTTATGGTTTGGTCTGGTAGAAGAAAGTGATTTTGGAATATCACACAATATGATTTTCATTGCTCTCCAAACAGCATTATAGAGTATTTGTTGTTTTTTAAAATATGTTTTATTTTGACGATCATTTATAAAAAGTAGAAAAATGTGTACATTTAATATACAAAATTTGTTTTTCCAGTGGCCCATCCTCAGGAGCCTCATCACCCCACAGAGAAGCCTGTCATTCACTGCCACAAATGTGGGGAGCAATGTAAAGGAGAAGTGCTTCGAGTCCAGGCCAAACATTTTCACATCAAATGCTTTACCTGCAAAGGTACTGTAATTTCATTTTATTGCTAGCCACTCAGGCAATCAAACTATCCATATTTCTTTACTCAGAAGAAATTGGCTGGATCCCTTTTATGGGCCTGTTATTGGGTTTAGACCCATGAAGAAGGAAATAGAGAATGAACATTACTTAAATGTACAAACAAAAGTATTCCTTATATTTGTGTCTTTGATATGTATATATGTATTTATGAATGAATGAATGGCCACTCATAGTCACATGATGTTGATTGAGCAGCCATATATATGCTATAATGATAATATTAATACAAAAATTAATTTCAGCAATTTTCAGATATTTCCATTTTTGAAACTTTAGAGTTTACATTAACTGATTAACAAATATAAGGGCTTTCAAAAAATGTTATAGCGTGGGACCTTGTAAAAAATACTGCTTGGACCATTAAAGCATATTTAAGTATAAAACATATTTTCCAGGCTGGCAATTGGAAAAGTTGTGGTTTGAATCTAGCTGGTTTGTCTGTGCTCCCTTCATGTTATAAAATACCTTTTTCAAAAATAGCTTTAATAACCACATACAAACACTCACACCGGTGTGTGTGTGTGCGTGCGTGTGTGCGTGTAAACGTAACTAATATATAGAAGAAGCAAATTTGTCCAAATGTATTAAAAGTCTTATTTGCCCCCTTTTGAAAAATGGTTAATTCAAAGACTTCAAAGAGCACACGTCAGCAGTCCAATGGAATATAAAACAACAGCACTTAGACTTATACACCGCTTCATAGTGCTTTACAGAGCTTTTTAAGCGGTTTACAGAGTCATCCTATTGCCCCCAACAGTCTGGTGCTCATTTTACTGACCTCGGAAGGATGGAAGGGTGAGTCAACCTTGAGCCATTCAGAATCGAACTCCTGGAGTCAGCAGTAAGTTGCATATTGAGTTGTGTGCTAATATACAGTATGTATAACTACTAGTTCTGCTGGTTGGGGTTGGCTGTTAATCTGCCATCTGATGCTCCATCTGCTTTCAGGAAAGATTATCCAGTTTACCAGAGACTGGACTACTTTGTTGTTGTGAAACAATTTGCTAATAAATGCTTGTGGATACAGCAAGAAATTCAGTTAGAGGATCTTCAGATCAAAACATTGCTTTACATTTGTTGATCACAGTTTATAATATGTTCTTTTCAATATGTTTCTCCATGAATGAGAGGTTTTTAAAAATATGTTCCACTTTTGGGGAAATTTAGCTCTTTCACAACACATTCGCTTTTGTTATGGAAGTTGTATGATCTGAGTTTGAATTCCAGTCAGGTATTACTTTCAGTATGGCATTAGTGATGTGAAACAAGCTTCTACCTCATCCTCAGTCCTGTTATGAATCTTTGCTTTGCTTAATTTTTTGGAAAATTTGCTCCTCTTTGCAAATATTGTATTTTGGCACAAAGGTTTATTTAAGCAAACTTCCCCCCCCCCCAGTTTATTATGAGTAAGGTGTTCATCTACCTTTTGAATAGGTGGGAGCAATGGTTAAAAATGACATCCTTCATGACCAGCCAGAGGAATCATTGATTTCAGTTCTACAATCATATGAAGTACAAGATTCAACATTTATGGCCACTCAGCTTTTCTATTCCAGTTAGTTTCTGTATATGGAATGGAGGAAAGACATCTTGTTCTTTGTCTGAAATTGCAAAGTATCTTGGGGCACCCTGAATTTCTAATTTGAATATGGAACAAACTATGCCTAGAAGGATTAAGCTTTGCTTTCCCCAATTTGAATGTCATAGCAAGCTAAGATTATTATGAGCCAAGAAGGAAGGGTATAGTTCAGGGGTAGGCAACCTTGGCTCTTTTATGACTCGTGGACTTCAACTCCCAGAATTCCTGAGCCAGCCATGGCTGACTCAGGAATTCTGGGAGTTGAAGTCCACGAGTCATAAAAGAGCCAAGGTTGCCTACCCCTGGTATAGTTGAAGAAGGAAATCCACAAGGTATTTCCAGCAGTCTGAGACATCACTGTTTTCTCATGCTTAAGAATTGATTTATTAAGCTTGTATCTTACTTCTGCCAGAATGTTAGCACTGACAAAGAGAATTTTATTAAAATGGACATATATGCACTTTTACACAATATTTTGCTATAAGATCAAATATATGTTTGCCCATACCATGGTGGTACAGTGGTTAGAATACAGTATTGCAGGCTAATTCTGCCAACTGTGAGCAATTTGAGTCTCACCGGCTCAAGGTTGATTCAGCCTTCCATCCTTCTGAGGTCAGTAAAATGAGGACCCAGATTCCTGGGGACAATATGCTAACTCTGTAAACTGCCTAGAGAGGGCTGTAAAGCACTGTGGAACAGTATATAAGTTTAAGTGCTATTGCTATTTACGAAGGAATTTAGATAATCTATGACCTATTGGGTTATCTCTTTAGAAATATTTACCTATCACTCACCCACCCTCCCTGACTCTCATTGCACCTCCCTCACACCCTTGCACTAACTCTCACAGCTCCACATAAACTCCTCAATCCATGAAATATCTCTCACACACCCTGGTGCAATCCATATGGTGCCTCTCACATACCACTGCACATCCTCTCCAATGAACGCAGCACTTCCCCTGCAACCCCGTGCATCCCTTCACTGTGCCCCCACTTGCCAGCAGCTACTTGCCTACCTGCCAGCCTGGGACCTATGACTTTTTCCCAGCTTCCTTGTTGATTTTCCTTGTGCAAAGCAGCTAGGGAGTATTGGAAACGATAAGCATGTGACCGTAGCTGACCATGGAAGCATAGTGGCATTGAAGTGGCCATAACTTTTCAAATTTTCAATCTCCTAGGAGTAATGAATCACAGAATGAATGTGTTCTGTAAATTATCTCATCTAAAGTACCTTGGTAGGTACATCATAGGTTGTTGCCTTATGATGCAACCTTTAGCCCAAGTGAAGCTTATAAACAGATATAAAATTTTTATTATTATATAGATTTAATTTGTCCAAATTGTGTAGCAGGATATATGTTTATTTCTTCCACTGATTTATTATTTGGACAATAATTAAGATTAAAATGTCTTAGCCCCTCAGCTTCATTAGCATTTGGTCTCTTATTAGAATAACAGTTTTAATTTGTCATTCCACAAGTTGATAGGTAGCTTGAGGAAAATTTCTGTAGTTCCTCAAAGAATTTTTCCCAACTAAACAATAACTTGCTTAAGAAAAATCTTTGTTTTGCTTCTCCTCTCCTTCTGAATGGAAGAGAACCAGAGTTAAGTAGCTGCTTTGCCTTGCTTTATAATCATCCAATTATCAAATAGCTTAAATGAATCAATCTTTGTTGGATTTGCCCTTGATCTGAGAAATGACTACATGCTCTCTGGGGACTGATCTGCAGGCTTACATTCTCTCTCCAGTTTTACCTCATCCCATAAAATTTTATTTCTGCTGGCAGAAAGTGAGCACCTCTGATGCAGTTTAATAGAATACACTTTGGGGTTAACTTTTGGGTATTGTTGTAGATGAAGATATTTATAAGCTGGTAATATATTAATCATTTGCAGTGAGTTGCCAAATCAGAGTCACATGGGTAAGAGTGAATAACCTCTCCAAGGATAAAGAGAAAGACAGGTGACTCTATATTATGCACCGTAATTATATAAATATATTTTGCCATTTTAAATTTTGCCAAATTTTATGTTTTCAGTTCTTCTGAATATTATAAAATGATGTTATTATGATTGAGATCTATTTACTAGAATTCCATATAATTGTTCCATTATTGATGGGCAACTAGACACTCTAACTGGGTAGTTTTCTAGATGTGTGAAAGATGTCATGTTGTTGGATTGCAGTTTTTATTTGGACTAGTAAATGAATTAAATCCTGATCTATAATTTCATTATATAAAAACCCATTTTTCTTATTAAGGTACCAAGAAAGGTTTCTTAGCATCATGTTTAGGATTATAACCACTAACAAATAATTAGTAGTCCTATAAATTCATACCATAGGTTCCTTTATTGTATAAAAAGTGATATAAAAAGCTGTTTGATTACAGCAGTTTAGAAATGTAATAAATAAATGCCCAAAGTATGCCATGCCCCACCTGCTGATGCAGTGCTTCTCTGCAATTTTTATTTGGGAAAAATATATACAAAAATCTTAATTCATGTTTGTATGATCATAATATTTGAATTGTCTATTAAGTAGGTCTGGATTAAACTGTGGAGTCCTTGGTGCTCTATGAACCTTGTTGTATGTTTGCAGAAGGTAACATCTTCAGTGCTAGAAAGGAATGGGCTTTACTGTCTCTTTATATACTGTAATTTGCCCTGTGAGTGTTGGTGGGCTACTCTAGTCTTTTAATTTATTTAAGATATTTTGGAGGGCTTTACTTGGTTTGTGTGATACGATGGTGTGGTGTGGTGATAATAGTTGGTTATTTCTGACCAACTAAATGGCAATGTTATCATTGTTATAGCTTGGTTGTACTGGACTGGGTTGAGCAGTCAGGAACATTTGATAAAATTGTGAGGGTATATATTGAACGATGTTCATTTCCTTTTTCTGCTGTCCAGGTTTGCTGCAGTGTGTTTGTGCTTGTCCTAATAATGTTCGCACACAGGTTTTCTTATGGGGTGTTACTTTGATAGATGAACAGTGTGGGTGAATTTTTGATAGTCTTTTAATTGTAATTTGCCACCATTTCCTCAGCTGATTAGGATCTCTAGGAAGTGTTATTTGTTGCTGTTTCTTCTTTCCTTATGAATTTTATTCTTTGAAGATGTTGTTAATTGTTGGGTCTGTGTATGTGAAGAGTACTATGACATTGAATGAAATCATAATATCATCTTTTTCTACTGTCTTTGATTTTTCTGGAGGAACTTGTAGTGAGGAATTGATAGAATATGCACTTCCTGCCGTGAGATGATTTAGAGGAGGAGATAGAAAGGGAACTCATCAAATTTGCAAATGACACCAGCCTGGCAGAAATAGCCAACCCCCCAGAAGATAGGCTCAAGAT